CTTGGGTATGAGTTGAAATAGAAATGGCAATGGGTGAGGCTTTTGGTATATTAATTCAACTCTGGATGTTGTATCATTTATCACCTTTGAACTGAACACAGCTGTATGTTATCTTTATTAAGCATAAAAAGAATAAAATTGAAACTGAGTGCTTAACTTATGGCTTACTCTGATGACTTTTGCTTTCTAGAAATACCTTTAAATCTTAAAAGAAATACATATGTTCTTTATATACTTGCTTGATGTCAAAATTGATGATGATTGTGCTTTTTTTTTAGTTAAGTTTGTCAGGGTAATAGTTCTTATATAAAAGTAAGTGAAAGTAAATAAGTAAAATGTTCTCAATTTAGCAATTCCAGTGGAATGATGTTAGGTACCATCAAATCAATCCCAACTCATAGTGACAACCGAATAAAACCCTGCCCAGTTTGCACGTCCTCAGAGTTGTTAGCTTTGAGCCCATTGCAGCCTTTGCAGCAGTCCACCTTGTTGAGGGTCTTCCTCTTTTTGCTGTTCCAGTCACCAAGCATGAAGCCTTTCCAATCTGTCCAAATACGTGAGATGAATCATGTCTCAGTGTCCTCACTTCTCGGGAGTATTTTGCCTGTGCTTCTTCTGAGACTTACGTGTTTGTTCTTTTGGCAGTCTATAGAACTTCCAGTGTTCTTCACAACACTATAATGAAATTTTATCAGTTTTTCTGTCTCCTTTTTTCACATGCTTATGAGGTGACAGTATGTCTTGGACCAATGCTAAGGTGATTCTGAAAGCTGAAATTAGCACATCAGGACAGTATAACAGGAAGTGCTGACTGCTGAAAGAACATTTCTATCAGTTACGTGACGATTTGGGCAATGGAGTAGGCCTTACTTAAGATAAAGGAAAACAAAACCCGTTGCAATCAATTGATTTGGACTGGGGGTAATTTCATATGTTCCTGCAGAGCTGCTCCACAGGGTTTTCCCAGCTATCATCGTTATGACAGCCAGGCCTTTCTTCGCATGTGCCAATGGGCAGGTTAAAACCACCAACCCTTAAAGTTAGTCATTCACTCACCGCCATAGAGGTGATTCCAATCCTCTAGGGCAGAGGAGAACCACCCACCCGTGTGGGTTTCTAAGACTCTCTTTAACAGTGTAGAAAGCCTCAGCTTTCTCTTGCAGAGCAGCTGGTGGTTTCGAACTGCTCACCCTGTGCTTAGCAGCCCAGTGTGTAACCACTATGCCTCCTGGGCTCCTTTTAGGTTAACAGTTGAATGGAAACCATTTGTGAAACCCAGGGACTTAGAGAGGAACAAAGTGCTAGGTAATTCAGTAAAGGTTAATAATAGCTTAACAGTTTATCTGGATTATTGCTTTCTTTGTTCAGGTTTATGTGCACATTGGATTGATTTATGGAAATACACGTTACAGTGCTAACCCAGTTTATCTTGACGGGGAGAGAGACTATATCATATAGGCAGGAGGGCGGTTTATTCTTTGAGGTAAATAATGACCAATAGCACAATTAAAATGACAACTTGTGTTAATCATGTAAAAGTTTCTTGATAGATTTATTGTTTTAAGGGAACTAGAATACATTATGCATTATTAACAACAACAACTATAAAAGCCTCATTTTAAAAACCGACAAAAATCATTGGAGAAGAAAAATCACAGGAGCATTAACATACTTCCTGGGATCTTTCTTAACTTTTTTAGGTCTAAAAAGGTCATTGAGTCATTCTGTTTGACCTTAAATTTTTTTTGAAGGCACTATTTGATAGTGGTTTTATGTGGTGCAGTGTTTGCTTGTATCTTCTCAGAAGTGAGCAAAATTTCTCCATTGTAGACCTGATTGTATACCTCTTTTGTATAAATGTTATTGTATGATATAGAATACTGTTTTCAGATGGGTCATCTGATCTTTCCCAAATATTAAAAAAAACTCGAATATTTAAAATTAACTAGTGGTTAAAAGTCTTTTTTGGTATGAATATGATGGCCCCAGTGCTTGCAAAATAAGTACTTGAAAGCCTTTTTAATTCTGAGACATTCATTTTTGGAGTCTGGCCTTCAGTAGAGAGACCTAGCAGGGATTTATCCTACTTATCTAAAGTTAGAATCAGTAATAATCCTTATGGTTTTGAATAGCTATCCTCAAATCTCCAGCATCCGGAAAGTGATCAGTTTACTTATACTAGAAAGATGGGACTTTCTACTCCCACAAAGAGTTACAGTCTTGGAAACTTACAGGGGTAGTTCAACCCTGTCCTGTAGGGTCACTCTGAGTCAGCATTGACTCTATAGCAGTGGGTTTGATTTTTTGTTACCTTAAATATTAGGTGTTGGGCTACTTGCTCTGTGCTTCAAAACTACCAGCCACTTCTCAGGAGAAAAATTAGGTAGAATGAATAATTTTTTTAATCATTGTATTGGGGGCTCATACAGCTCGTATCACAATCCATACATCCATCCATTGTGTCAAGCACATTTGTACATACGTTGCCATCATCATTTTCAAAACATTTTCTTTTACTTGAGCCCTTAGTATTAGCTCCTCATTTAGGCTGAATAAAACTTTACAATCTTGGAAACACTATATAGGCTCATCATAAGTTGGGATCAACTCAGTGGTAGTCTGTTGTGTTTTGAGGAGTTTATCCTAAATAAATAGATGCGACAGTGGGCTCAAACTTACCAGTGATCCTGAAGATGGCACAGGACTGGGCATTGTTTCATTTTGTTATGTGTGTGGTTGTCACAGGTCAAAACCTACTCCGAGCAATTAACAACATCTCAAATTTAAATAATGAATCCAGTCTCGTTCTTGTTTTTCTTTCTTCCCAAGTGGAGGATACCTTTTAACTTTAACTTTCCCTTTTCCCCCATTACTTATTACCTGGAGCCCTCGTGGTGTAGTGAGGTTATATGTTGGGCTGCTAACTGAAAGGTCAGCATTTTGAAAACACCAGCTGCTCCTCAGGAGAAAGGTGAGGCTCTCTACCTACTCCTGTAAAGAGTTACAATCTATGAAACCCACAGAACCAGTTCTACTTAGTCCTATAGCAGTGGTTCTCAACCTGTGGGTCAAATGACCCTTTCACGGAGGTCGTCCAATTCATAACAGTTTATTATGGTTGGGGGGTCACCACACATGAGGAACTGTATGAAAGGGTCTCGGCATTAGGAAGGTTGAGAAACACTGTCCTATAGGGTCACTATGAGTTGGAATCAACTTGATGACAGTGAGAGAAATTGAATTTTAGGTGCTATAACTATTTATAAATATTTGATTTAAATATTTATTAAGATAATATTCAATTCTGGTATTTTTTAACAACTAGTCAAGAAAGTACTTTCATTTAGTAGTATGCTCTAGATTCAAAGAAACTTTTTTAGATTCTACAGAAATGTAGACCCTTTCCTAAGAATGAACCACTTTTTAATAAAAGTACAGGTTGAGTATACATTTCTGTGAGATCGAATTATGCATACATTTATGTGCCATCTAGGTGTTCAAGTAAGAATCTCTTGGAGGAAAGGGGAAGACATCAAATAATTAAAATGTCATGATGAAAATGTTCAATTTGGAGATGTTTTACTAGGAAGTGGGGTTATTCTTTTTGGCAGGAAAAGAGAAGAGCCCTAGGATGGTGTGCATACTATTAACTTACTTGGCTGCATCTTGGAAAAAAGGCTTGGCCTTGTACTTCTGAAAAGCCAGCCATAGAAAATCCCATGGAACACAATTCTTCTCTGACACCCAGGGTCTTCACAAGTCAGAAGCAACTCAAAGATCATTGATTTGGGGAGGGAAGCATAGGAATGGGAGACAATGCAGGCTCTGTAGAGAAAGTGATACCTTAGTAGAATTGAGAAAAGTAACTACTCAAATGGGGAAGATGATACAGGTAACCAGCAGAATTGTGGAAGAGTTGGTGTGTTTGGGGAGCTACAGGTGGTTGGTATGAGGAACACAGGGTGAAGGTTAGTAGGCAAAGAAACTAGAAAGTGTATCAGTGTAATTGTTAGTGAAAATTTAAGTTTAAGGGCTCAGAAATGGTCTGATTATAAAAATAGAGGCAGTGAATGATCTTTTCGAACTTGCTATTTTGGCTGTAGCAATTGTTTTTGGAAATAACTTGACTTCACAATTGATAGATTTTGCATACCTAAGTTGTCAAATATAATAATGTATTTTAAAAAAATTACAGGATGCAAATGCAAATGACAGAAATGCAAAGATATTTGTTCAGTATTGTATCATAGCTGACTTATTTACTTGAGGTAATATTCCAAGAGGATCAGAATCAGAGAAACTGGCATATTTGCATATGGAGATGTATAAGAAAATATTTGTTGCAGCATTGTTTCCGATACTGAAAAGTTGGAACAGGAGAATGGAGAAATTATGATGTGTGCAATTAATGAATACTATTCAGTAGTTCAAATGGATAAGCTGAGTATATTAACATAGATATATCTCTAAGCCAATATTGAGCTAAATAAAACATTGCTGACTATTAAGATTTAGGTATAGTTTTAAATTTGATAATACTATATATATCATATATACATACATGGCAAACAATAAAATATTCTGTTTTTCTAAAACATAGAATAAAATATTCTAAATATAGTGTATAGTACAGAATACCATATAGTGTATGTATGTTCTTTAATATTATAATCTGAAGCAAATGTAGTAAAACGTTAAATTTTGTGAAATCTTGGTGGTAGGTACACAGATGTTTTATTATTATTGACACTTTTTCTGAAAACAAAATAAAGAAAAGTTCAGATTAGGATCACAGATAATGGAGACATGAAAGCTAACACTAAAAGAAATCTCATTATCCAGGTTAAGATAACCAAGGGGGCACGCATAAGGCCCCATTAAGAGGAGATGCTAGCCTAACAGTATTGGTAAAAACAAGGTGGAAAAGTGGGCTTGAAGACTCAGCATGCTTAATGCATTTAAACATTTAGCTATTTCTCTCTTGATAATTTTTTAGAGAAATATGAGACGCAATGGAAGCAGGAATTGTTTGACTAGAAGAAGCAGGTTTGGTTCTCGAGAAAGAGATTGGCTGAGAGAAGATGTGAAGAGAGGATGTGTTTACCTTTATGGAGCAGAAATGACCACTGCCACTACAACTATTACCGCCACCGCCTCCGCCTCTTCCTCCTCCTCCTCCTCCTCCTCGTCTTCTGAATTGCATCTTGTCCTTTGCACAGTGGAGACACTGGCATCTGAAATATGTGCTGGAGAGGGAAAGGCAAGCCTTTATTTGCAGCTTCATGGAGACCTGGTCCGGTAAGAGCAGAGCTTTACCATTCTTCTTCTTCTTTTTTTTTTTAAACCATTCTTATTTTACTGCAATATAGGTAATGTGCATTTCTGCTTAGAAGTGGATTTTAGGATTTTAATTGTGCTAGAATGGATGTCAATTATGGAGGCTTAAAAGAAGATTTGTCCCTAGAATGCTTACTTTATGATTCTGAGATTTTTAAAAAACTGCCCATGAAGGAATACTTAATGGTTGCTTTTTCTGGATTATACCAGAGATCCACATCTAAATTAAAAATAAGTATTGTAAACATTAATTGGGGGAGGGTGGCTAGGAATATATAGAAATTGAGTATCTAAAAAAGAGATGCAGTAAGTCTTCCTTTTACCCCTTTTGGCAACTCCCCAGGCTTTTCCCAAAGGCAGTTCTTAATACTGTTTGCTAAATGCAGCTTAAGGGTATTCCATCCATTTATAAATACTGGTATATGTTCATGCATGAGTGTGCATATTTATATATAAATTTTTAAATTAATGGTACTCTGCAATACACTGCTAACTTTTAGAGATATTTCCATGCTAATCATATAATTTTAATTTTCTTAAATGGCTGTTTAGTATTTCATTTTATAACTCACATATTTTAGCCAACCTCTTATTAATGCACAGTTTTAAACAGTTTTCTTGATACATAACTCATGTGCTGTAAGACTCTGATTTAAATATATTAAAAAAGAATTGTGCATTTATCACCACAATAAATTTCAGAACATTTTTAATTCTTATATCCATTAATATTGGCTCCTCATTTCCCCCCAACCTCCCCTGACATAACCTTAAGAACTATTCATCTAGTTACTGTTTTTATAGATTTATCTATCTGAAATATTTTAAAAAATGTAAAACCTGGAATTTCTTATAAGCAAAATCATTCAAAAATGATCCCAACAGCATCAACAAAATAAAGCACATAAAAACCTCAATCCAAAAGAAAGCAGAAAATAATAAAAAGTAGAGCAAGTTAGAAATGAGTCACAGGAAACAAATGGGTAAGACGTTAAATTTTAACCTAACTATTTCTTCAGTAGTACACTTTCCAAAGCACTCTGTCTGAGGACAAGACTATTCATACCTAAGGTCAATGGCCCAAGGACATACAATTAAGGCTTAATCCATGTGGGGGCTCTATAAATGGATTTTGGGCTTTCACTGTTACCCATAGCCTTCTGCAAATTAGGTGCTCAGGTTTTAAGCTCTAATACAGCCTCCCCACCCAACTCCCTGTCATGAGTTTTATTATTAATGATCCATTGATCACACTGGCAGTTAAGCTTCTTTGTGCAGACTTAGCTTACACATCAGCTAGATGGCTACTTGTGTAAGACATGCCCTTAGGATGCCAGACTCTGTTCTTTCTGATACCCAGGCACTATCTGACTTCATCACCACACTTTGCTATTGTACCCATATCTTCAGTGATCACTTCATGTGGGCAAGTATCAAACAGAGCCACCTCATAAGTACCCATTTTGTTATGATTAAGTGCAAATTCAAACTCCTATGGACATTTAGGTGATTATCAATTCGTTTGTTTTACTACTACAAACAATGCTGCAATGAATTATCTTGGACCTATGATGTTTCCCACAATGGGAATATATTTGTAGGATAAACGAAGTAGAATTGCTTTTTATAAACAGTTTTATTGGCACCTAATCCACTTATCAAATAGTTCAGTCATATCAAGAAGGGTTGTATAATATTACCACAATCAATTTTAGACTATTTTCTTTCTTGTACTCATTGTTATTAGCGTCTCACTTAACCTCTTCCCCCAACCTCCCAATCCCTAAGAAATCATTATTATTTTGATAGATAATCTCCTGGAGGTTTCCACTGACAATTTAAAAATATACTTGTCGCTCCTTACTTTGTCCATTGTGTACTAGTGTGAAAATTTAGGTTTAGATACTACTAATGCACAAGTGTATATCTGCTTACAAATAGAAATAATTGTGAAAAGTTTTAAATTTACAAATCATAAAGTTAGCACTTCAAGGACAAATCTTTTTCAAATTCACTGACGTAGATTTTGCAAATCTGATAGGAATTCTAATCAGCATTTCTCTTAAGAGTGATACTGAACATACTTTTTTTAAAAACATCATTTTATTGGGGGCTCGTACAGCTCTTATCACAATCCATGCATCAGTTGAATCAGGTATGTTTGTACATATGTTGCCCGCATTCTCCTCTAGACATTTACTTTCTATTGAGCCCTCTGACAGCTGAACATACTTTTAATATATTGAAGAGCCATTTATGTTATCTTCAAAATATTTTTTGTATATGTATAGAAAAGTATTTTCATATTCATTTTAGGTCTTTTTTTAACTTTAAAATGATTTTATTGGGGGCTCGTACAATTCTTATCACAATCCATACATCCATCCATTGTGTCAAGCACATTTGTACCTTTTTTTGCCATCATCGTTCTTAAAACATTTGCTTTCTTTTTGAGCCCTTAATATCAGCTCCTCATTTCCCCCCCTCCTTTCCCACTACCCCCTCCCTCATGAACCCTTCATAGTTCATAAATTATTATTTTGTCATATCTTACTGTCTGACACCTCCCTTCACCCACTTTTCTGTTGTTCATTTGAGGTCTTTGATTTGTTTTGTTTTGTTTAGTTTTTTAAACTATTATTAGTTTTCTGAGTTAAACATCAAATAAAAACCAAACCAGTTCCCATTGAATCTGTTTTAACTTACAGCAACACCATATGTTCCACAGTGGAAATAAGTTCCATAGAATGTTAATGGCTGTGACATTTAGGAAGTAGATTGCGAAGCCTCTCTTTTGGGGTGCCTCTGGTAGGTTCAAACAGCTAACCTTTCAGCTGCTAACCCTTTGTACCATCCGGGGACTCCCACCAGCCAGTAATTGTTCTTTAAATACCTGGTCATTGTTTTTCCCTCCTCCCTCATTCCTGTAGTAAATAAATATGCTTCTTGAAATACAATTCAAAGTTGTGGATGCAATTCTGCTGGAAGTGAGGAAGCTCCCACTCACACCTGAAAAAGTGGTAATAATAGTAGCACCTTTTGCTGAGCTAAAATTGGTGTCAATTAAAAGATCTCAAGTGAAGCTTACTATGCATTTCTTTTAGGATTTGGGATGATTCCTGAAAAAGTAGATTAGCAGTTTAATGTTTTCCTTGTTCACCAGTTAATGTTCTCAGACAAATACATTTCCTAAATCCACTTATAAAACTGAAGGATCAGACTGGGTTATCTTTAGGCTTTCCTAAATCTTAACACTGACTCTGATCTAATTTTATCAGGTGGAAGCCTTGACCTAGATTAGAGCTGATAGTGATTGATGGACTGTACTTGTTAAAACAGTTGACTGATTAATTTGTATATTAATGCATATGTATACAGAGATATTAGAAATGTGGAGAAAACCCTGTTTGCATTGGTTTGATTCTACTAGTGGTGTAGTTAGTTAGGAAGACAAATGATAGGGTTTATGTACTTTTGTGAGTGCGAGCTACTTTTAGATTGGGAAGTTTGTCGCTTTTTAGCCCTCTGACTGATAATTTATGGTGAAGTAGCTCTTTGGAGAAGCTCTGGCGGTATACTGCTTATATGTTGGGCTGCTAACCACAAGGTCAGCAGATCCAAACCACCAGCCACTCCAAGGGGGAAAATGGGACTTTCTACTCCCATATAGAGTTACAGTCTCATAAATTCACGGAGCAGTTCTACCCTGTCTCATAGGACCATTATGAGTTGGCATTGACTTGATGGCAGTGAGTAAGCTCTTGGAAGATTTAATTTATTCAAAAATAATGAAAACACTTAGAGCTGTGGTTTGAAAGAATGAACATATTTTTGTTGTTGAAGAGCTCAATAAGTCTCATTCAGCCCCCAAATGATGGTGATGATGATGATGATAATGCTGATCTTGGTGGGTTTTTAATCTGACATTTGTACTTGTTGTTAGTTGCTGCCCAGTTAATTCCACTTCGTGACAACCCCATTTATACAAAGTAGAACTACTCTAGGGGTTTCTAGGTTGTGAACCTTTTGAAGCAGATTGCCAAATTCATCTCAAGAGCCTCTGGGTGGGTTCAAACCACCAACCTTTTGCCTAGAATCCAAGCATCACCCAGGGACTTGAGCTAAAGTGTTTAGTCCTTTATGTGTACCTTTTTATGTAATCCTCACAGTAACAATAATGAAGATAGTATTATTTTCTTTCTGATGAGCAAAGTTGAGCCTTTGAGAGGTCCAGGTACCTGCTAAAATAAAAGGTAAGGCAGTTACTGTCAGGCAGTTGGAATTCCAAAGTCATTCAAAGTAAATGGTAGACTTTATTGTGAGTAAAGACCCTTCAGGAAGGAACTTACACAGTTCTCTCTTAACTCAGTTTCAGTGTTGAATAATGCTTACTTAAAGTGCCTTTTTAGGTTTCTTACTCAATAGCAAAATGCTATTCAGTTGGATGATAACTAGAGGAGTAGATACCGTATATGCTTGAGTATAAGCCCACCCGAATATCAGCCGAGGCTCCTAATTTTACCACAAAAACTGCATTTAAAAATGTGCTGAAAACGTGTCTTATACTTGAGTATATATGGTACTTTCTTCAGAAAAATCATTTATAAGTTATTTGACAGACAAGGGGATAATGTCTTTTAGTAAACTTTTTGCTGCCTACTGAAGTTTAATAGGTGCTCTTTGTAGAAAATGTGGGAAAAATCTAAAAAAAAAAAAATGCAAGGTCATCTTTATATAGATTATCTCATCTAATCCTCACAATGATTTTGTGAGATAATTACTGATATCGACCCCATTTATGAATAAAGTGAGGTTTAGAGAGGTTAAGCATCTCTCCCAAGATCACTCAGCAGTTAAGCAATAGGGCTGGAATTTGAACCTTGGAATTTTGACACCAGATCCCATCATTAACTGTCATTGCCTCCTCAGAGTTAAGATTTTTTTTTTCTCCCTCAGATCTT